AAAACAGATTAAATGTTGGCATTTTTAAGACTCTTTACTTCTTCAGATAATAAATTCCTGTCTCATCATATTTAAATGGCAGCAACTTAAGTTTAAATTCTACTGCTTGAAAAACTAATAAAACAGGAAGAAAATGGTATTTGTCCACAAGAGAGGACATAGAATAGAGAATTGACTTATGATCAGTGTCTGTGCTCTAGTGTGTTAATATTTATGGTACAAGTTGAACCACAAATGAGACAAGTCATTAATCTATGACAGCACTATAAGTTCTAGTACTAGAATTGGAATATTTGAAATCGCAATATCCACTGAATACTGTTTAATTTATTTAATTCTGAATTACTAACGGCCTTCTGTCAGGGCCGCTCGGCGGCCGCTGCCTCTCCTCCGTTCTGTCTCTTTGTTTTCTCCGTTTTATGGGCTCTGCACCTCAGCTGTGTTGCATTCCAGTAATTAGTAACTGGTTTGTCAACGCACACAGCTGGGGTGCATCCCGATGATGACCTTCTTCCTTTATTTAAACCTCTGACAGACGCTCTGCCGTTGCCGGAACATTAGCTACTGATATCTAACACAACATAGCGCTGCTTTATGTAAGTAACAATGGAATGCTACGCTGACAGTTACTGTGCGTCTTGGCTTGACTCCATTCACACGACATAGGCGCTACACTACACACACATTAACCTTCTCCATGCCCACACATCACCGTGTTATGTACGTACTATTGGAATGCTACGCTGACAGTTACTGTGCGTTTTGGCTTGACTCCATTTACACGACATAGGCGCTACACTACATATACCCTCAGTTTTTGATTCGTCTCCGTGGCTTGGCTTTTTGGACAATACTTACCCTCTTACCCACTTTCCTACCGTTCGTTTGTGTGTGCACCTGTTCGTCCCGGTCTCCTTGGTTATCACTGCCCTTCCTTTGTTGTGAGTATTACGGACCCTGTTTTGTTGTTACGTTGTCGTTGTCTTATTTTTTCCCCATTAAACCTTTGTTTTGTACTAGCACCTGGGTCAGCTATCTTGTGTCCTACCCCTAGTTCTCCCTCACCCTCCTGGCGAGGGGGGATAACCCTAACACCTTCTAATAGTCATAGAGACAGTCCCAGAATTAGCGAAGAGAAATGTGAAATTTATCCTTCTTCCATTTGCATTCAGCTTGCCGACATCTTTGTCTAAGTGCCCGAGTAGAGTCGTTTAGCCAAGGCACTGCTTGCTCCAAAGGTACAGTATGGTCAAGAAAGACGAAGAGGAACTTTAATCCCATTCTCAATAAATGTGAATCCTATTCACATAAACAGTGCATCACATTACATGTCATGTGACCTGTAAAGGTGGATCACCAGGAGGGATGGTCTTGATGCAAAACCTTTAAAACTTGTAGCACATTTTAGAGGCTCTCCTATGGCACATATTAAAAAACTGAGCTCACACAAAAAACTATGTCCACAACCATTGTATAACTGTAAAAGAACTAGCAATACCTAAAATTAGAAAGTTAACTTTTGGGGGCCAAGTTGTCAACACAGAAGTTTACTGCCTGTTCTGATTTAAATAATGGAGAAAGTTGTATATAATCAGTGTTATTTTTCAACGAATAATTTATATTCTGTTTTCCAATATGCACATAGAGAAAAACATTCCTCCACTTCCACACTGAGCCAAATGACAGACGATTGGTTAATAGAGATAGAAAACAAAAACACTGGGCCACATTCACCAACATCTTCCTAAATGTTTTCTTAAATTTCCACATCTTAAATTTAATTAAATTTCCACAAAGTCCACATCTGATTCATGACATGGTCTATTTTATTTTCAGTAAATACATTCACTGAAGTGAGCATTTACAATTTTCAGACTTGGACTGATTTGATTACTCTAATTGTTTAATAGTTTGATGGAACTATAATATTATGGCAGGGCAGTTGTACTGGAGTGCATCTACTTGTACATGTGTACAAAGTGCTCACTGAATGTAGCTGGTAACAGAAATCTCTGTTTTAGTTGGTGGTTTCTAATATAGGATAGTACAAGTACAAACCAGCAGATGGTGCAAGCCAACTAGAATTGTAGACTGGTCCATGTTTCACCTTCATCTTCAGTTGCCGCTGTTGGTAAACACATCATGCACCCTGCAGGACTGTTTTGCTCGGACAAACTGTGATGTGTTTAAAGCTGCAGCCACCTTAGAGGACTTTTCTGTTAGCGTACAGGACTATGCTGAGTATGTGACTGGGTACATCAGCACTTGTGTTGACAACATCGTGCCCACTGTACAAGTCAGGAAGTTCCCCATCCAGAAGCCCTGGATAAATTGAAACCCTGGTCCTCTTTGAACAATAATATCTCCAGCATACCTTGGGCTAGAAATGCCATTTCAACTCATGAGAAATTCAGCTACTTATAGTGCAGAAAGCTTCTTGATATCTTTTACGGTTTTTGCATACTCGCCATTTATACTTTGTGTACTTCTCCATTCACAATGAATTGCTCCATTCACTTCAATAGGCACCCTCTGAGTCATGTGACTCCCGCTCTGGCTCCATGTCTGTGTGTTTTTGATCAACTTCCTGACCGGCCACAGCACAGAGAGGAGGCAGGCACACACACCTGGAACACCCGATCCTCCTCCCCTCCATTAACTGCCCTGAGGAAGATCAACCCCCACAAAGCGGCAGGACTGGACAACATCCCTGGGAGGGCTCTCAGGGCATGCGCCAACGAGCTGGCTGATGTTCTCACCATCTTCAATCTCTCCCTCAGCCAGAGCATCATTCCCACCTGCTTTAAGACCACAACCATCATCCTCCTTCCCAAAAAGAGCCCGGTCACCTGCCTGAACGACTACAGACCAGTGGCACTAACCCCAATCATTATGAATTGTTTTGAGAGAGTGGTGCTGGCCCGCATTGAGAGCAGTATACCGGGCACCCTGGACCCCCTGCAGCATGCCTGCTGGCCCAAAAAAAAACTTCTACAGATGCTATAGCTACTGTCCTTCATTATTCCCTAGCTCTCTCACTTAGAAAATGGAGGCTCCTACATCAGGATACACTTCATTGACTACCGCTCCATATTCAACACAGGTGTCCCCAACAAAATGTCCTCATAAGGACTCCACCCCAGCCTCTGTGACTGGTTCCTGGACTTTCTGACTGGCAGGCCCCAGACTGTCAGGATTGGCAAAAGGACCTCAGTCAGCATCACTACAAACACTGGCACCCCACAGGGATGTGTCCTCAGTTTTATCCTCTACACCCTATTCACCCATGACTGTGTCGCCTCCCACAAAGACAACATCATCCTGAAGTTCACAGATGACACCGCAGTGATAGGTCGCATCACTGGTGGGGACGAAGCAGCCTATAGGAGGGAGGTGGCCGGTCTGGTGTCATGGTGCAAGGACAATAATCTCAGCCTCAACACGGACAAGACGAAGGAGATGATAGTGGACATGAGGAAGGAGAGGAAACCTCATCAGCCACTGTTCATTCGGGAGCTTGAAGTGGAGAGGGTGAGCAGCTTTAAATACCTGGGTGTCCACATCAGTGAGGACCTCACTTGGACACCTAACACCACACAGCTGGTCAAGAAGGCCCAACGGTGCCTGTACTTCCTGAGGAGGCTGAGGAGGTTTGGCATGTCGCCTAGGATCATTTGCAACTTCTATAACTGCATTGTCGAGAGTATCTTGGCCAGCTGCATCACTGTCTGGTATGGCAGCACTATTGCTATGGACTGCAAGTGCCTGCAGAGAGTGGTAAAGACTGTGGAGAAAATCACCAGGACTCCACTGCCTTCTCTACAAAGGATCTACCTCCCCAGAGTCCACAGGATGGCTGCCTCCATCCTCAAGGACCTCACCCAACCCCAGCATGGATTGTTCACATTCCTACCCTCCAGCTGGAGGTTCAGAAGTGTGAAATGCAGTACTTCTAAAGTGAAAAACTCTTTCTTTGCAACTGCCATCAGACTCCTAAACAGCTGACAGGAGTTTATTACCAGGAAATACTTAGTGTAATTCCCCCTGTACTGTTTACATACTCAGTTTGCACATGCATAATTGCACATTCGCTGTTGACTATTGCACATACAGCTCCCATGTAGCATATATTCTCTCTTATTATTCTTATATATTTTTATTATATCTCTTTCATTTCTATTTTAAAATGCCTTAAATTTTGTGCTACTTATCTACTTTATATTTCACTTGTATTGTGTGGCATTCATGTGGACGGCAAAGTAAGAATTTCATTGTACAGGGAAACATGTTTCCTTACTATGCATATGACAATAAACACTTTGATGTGCATATCATATAAACACAGCAGTCATTAGTTAAACTAACACCAACTGTGTTTAACCGAATGTGCACCTATGGATGAGGTTACTTTCTGCCACTTTCAACACAGATTAATAGAAGTGAACGGAATATAAAATTAAAACATAACTGCCCCATTTGACATCCTAACAAAAAACTGTTGTGCCTTTGCCTCCACAGAGTGATAGAATTCAAAGATAGAACCAATGAATATATGTAAGATTTAAAAAAGTAAAGGTAAGATAAGAAAAGACTGAGCCTGTGCTGTAAATCCAAGGGCCACAACAGCATAGCAGTACAAAATAACGCATCAGGCAGCACTTGTTAATTTACTGTAAAGAAAAAAATGTTGAACCATGAACCAAAAGTACTACACACCAATCATATTCCACTGAATCAACGGGGTACTGTATGGGCAATGGTTTTCAAATATTTTCAGTCATAAAATTCTACCCCCAGAGAACACACAAAGTCAGAGCATGCGTATGTAACCCACCTGATGTTGTGGTTATTGAGAAAAAAAAAAAAACTAAAAAAAACTGATACATAGAGGTAACTTTATTGTGAAGGGTTGTGCATTTTCCACTGTCATATGGGAAAAGAAATAAGTAGAAGATTGATGAGTAACAAAACCAATCAGGAACTGTCAGGGTCAAGTGAGATACGCCTCACAAGTTCCGCCCTTGGGTAGAGTCAGGGGTGTGGCAGAACAGAAAAACGGAGTATGGACAGAGATTAAAAGAGCTACATGTTTTGGGAGTTTACCTGGGTAGTGTGAGCAGAAAAGGTCAAAGACACTTTAATATTGAAATTGGATATATGACATAGCGACTACGGATACAGTCGCGAGGGAAAGGAAGAAAAAGAATTGGTCGTGGTAGCGAGTGAAAGCACTGTGAGCTAAAGATAATAGCTAATAGCTAATGGCTGATGCCATTAGCTCGTGTCCGGGCCAGCAGTGAATTGGGGAATTCTACCTCGTTAGTGAGCGAGAAGCAGAAGGTAAAACTTTATGGTTACACCTATTTATTTTGTTGAATTTTATGAGAAATTAAATTGAGTGTTATGTTAAAACCATGCCATTGTGTGTTGAAGAGATAAGACGGCTGCGTTGTGTGTGCGCCATTCTGAGCGGACATTACCGTATGCTCGTATTAATACAAGGAGATTGGTGAGCCATACATTTTGTTTATGTATATATTTGTGATTAATATACGCTGGAAATTTAAATACTGTATGTTTAAGTATGTGTAGGTAAATTCATAATGTTGTTGTTAGACTTAGCATTATAAAAATATAGTGTTAAATACTGGAAGTTGAATGTACTGAGATACTAAGAGTAATTGTTTGATCCTGTTATCACAGGTCAGGTTTTTTGTTTTGGGACATTCTATTCCATTCGTGAAATGATCATAAATCATTCTTGGAGTTCGATGGCGAGCCTCCCAGCGGATTCTGGAACGGGAAGATCTGGATAATTTTGGTCAGCATACAGGTGTTACTACACTCCCAGTGTGGTGGACAAAGGATTCAAATACGCCTTCTGGTGCAGTATATTTTTTCATTATCATACTGAGACTGGACTTACTTGGACTTCTGGAATGTTGATTTGACTTTTATTGTTTCCTTGGACTGAACTGCTTAGCACCGATGAAACTGTATATGCACTGAAGAGAACAATGTTATTATGGCGTTACCGGTATTGTAAACTTTGGATTCTTGTATGATTGAGTGATTTGAAAGGAGTTTGGATTTGAAAATTATCCAATGGGATTCTACTCCACACTGGATAAACAGATTTAGATTGGGTGCACCCTGTGATAGTGCAGACATAAAAAGGGAACGTATCCTAAGTAAACCATTATTCAAGATTTACTTGTTCCTCACAAGTAGGAGGGATTACTTAGTTTTTTGATATTGGTCTGTGAAGAGAAGAAAAACTTAACACGGTTAAACTTTTATTTTGGTTTATTCATTTTCCATATTTTTCATTATTTTAATTATCTAAATTGTTTTGTATATGTGCACACGTTCAAATACAGTAAGAAATTGTTCAAACATATGTTTTGTGAGATTCATTTGAACACCACACATAGCTCCAGTAGCCGAACCTATTCCAGCTTGTTGGCCCTTAATTAGAGATCAATAATTCCTTGGCTAAACACTTGGCAAGTGTTACACATACATGACAGAGTTATCAATATGGAGTTAGACAACATGGAGCAGGACTCTCAGCAATTTGGGACTAAAGTCAATATCATCATTCAGGTCTATATAAGATGAAGCCTGTAACTGATCTATGTAGAAAGTTTATCTATGAACCAACAAATACAGTCACCACCCTGAATGTTCTTATTTCTACAAACTTAAGGCTGTCAGTATTATTGTGTGCACCTTTGAAATGTCTGTAATCGCCAAGATTCCTTTCCTAATTGCATTTTTATGTTCAGAAACTCTGTCTTTATGTCATCTCTTAGTATGGCAACCACAAGTACAAGCTAGGCGATATATGCGAAATGTACTGTTACAATTAAGGATCTGATATATCTTGTGGGTTCTAAAATCAAAAAATTGTTTACATTCTTTTGTTAGCACAGTGATTACGGAAACCACATTTATAAGTACCCTTCGAAGATCAAGAAAGTCAAGTACTATTGGCTGAAAGATGACGATGTACTAACCTATCTCGCAGTGTGTGAGCTCTTCCAAAACTGATCTTGGGAGTAGCTGGAAAAACGTTTAGGGTGGGATTATTGTCAGTTAACTTCATGCTATTTCAGGATGTGGAACATGTAGTATTACAAAAACAATCAGAGCCACAAAAATTAAGGGGGAAAAATTCATTCATTTCAGTATGTTTCATTTGTGAGAAACTTCATAGTTGCTCTCAAGATATAAAAGATCACAACCTATTTTATCCATAGTGAAAAGCATGAATGGAAGTAAATAATTCAAAGACTTTTAAGAAGACCTGCAATGTTTAAACTGACAAAAAAAGTAAAATCTGTATAAGATAACGTCTTAGAACGTAGATCTGTCACTTAATTAAACAAAAGCTAAATGCAGGGCAGATTGTAGAGTGGAAGTTAGAATGTTTAGTAGGAATGGCAGGTCATGTTCTTATTAATAGAACAGTTAATGGGTGCAACGGAGATGAATTTGTCACAAGTTTAATCAGTAAAAGGCTTGTAATTGATGTAATCCTAAGCACAAGTATTATTCCCAACATGATAAAATAATTTCTCATTAAGGATAACTTTGTTCCATTTAATGTATTTTGTACAAATCTACAGTTACTATGCTTTTCAGACGTTGGAGTCATATGCTCTTGCTATACTTGCCCATGACAGGTTGATCGCAATTTGTTTTCCTCTGCATCAGAACTCAATCAACACACTGCAGAGCATGTCTTATATTATTGGTTTGACTTGGTGTTTTAGTCTGGGAATCATTGCATTTTCAATAAGTGCATTTATTCGATTGTCTTTTTGCAATTCCCTCACAGTGTTCAGTTTTTTCTGTGACTACTGTATATACCTGTGTATACACTCGCCTGTAATGATTACACAATGCAGTGGACTGTGGCCAATTCCCTTGGTTACTTGATTCTTGTTGTACCCTTTACTTTTATTTGTTTGTCTTATGTCAGTATCCTGGTGACAGTGTTCAGGATGAAATCTTTAGACAGTCGAGTTAAAGCTTTGGCTACTTGCACTGAACATATCATTCTTGTTGCTGTATTTTTCATTCCTCTCATCATTTTCATTTGGTCTCTTGCACCCCACCCTGTGTCAATCCTACTGTATAGTCTGAAAACCAAACAGTTAAAAAACAGAGCCCTTGCACTGGTAAGAAAAACTAAAATTGGCACAGATCAACTTAAGAAAAGACATTGGAGAATTGTTACAACAAAAAAGCAGGCAAAAAATGTTTGTGTAAAGGGCAGAGCGGAAAAAAATGTGATTTTTAGGAAAACCAGGACCCTACCACCCGCCATAATAAATAAAAATGGCGTACAACTGTGCTTTTTAAAATATTTATATTGTATCCTCTGGTTTTGTATGGTTTTAGTCATTTCCAATATTTCTAAATGAAACTGCATGTGTAAGATTTCATGCATTACATTATTGCACTTTAAAGGCTTGAATTTTTTTTTTATATATACTAAAGTCCTTCATCATCATATTTAAATTGCAGCAGCTTTACTTTTAGTTCTACTGTCTGACAAACTAATAAAACGAGAAAGAAAAGTATTCATCTCCAAAGAGGGACACAGACTAGAGAATGGAATTATGATGAGTGCCTCCCCTCTAGTGTGTTAATGTTCTCAGTACAAGCTGAAATCATTAATGGGACACGTCATTAATCATTGCTCTACATGGTCTACTACTAAATTTGAAAAACTAGAAATCCACTAACAAAGTTTAACTGGGGCCCTTACTGAACAAAATTCACTGGGAACAAATATAATACAAGGTATGGTCAAGACAGGATAAGAAGAGGCACAAGCGAAAAGGAAAAGAGGCAAGAGACTAAAAGAGAGGGACATTAAAAGGAGAAAGGATGATTGCATGAGTATCGGATAGATAAGAATAACTGTACCTTGTTTTTATTAATACTTACTCCTATTTAGATAACAGTCTCCAGCTTCTAATTTAGAACATGCAGTGATGCACCCTTGTGGCAGAAATGAGTATTAATTATCTTTCTTGTAAGAAACAAACCTTTTACAAATGATTGAACTTGACTTATCTCTGTTGCACCCATTAACTGTTCTAATAGTTAGAACCTGCTGTTCCAACTAAACTTTCTAACCTCCACTCCACCATCTGCCCTGCATTTAGTTTTTGTTTAATTAGGTGACAAATCTGTGTTCTAACATGCTATTATAATCATACTCATTCTGCGTTCATTGTCCTAAATTTGTATATTTAAACATTGCAGGTCTTCTTAAAAGTGTTTGTATCTTTGACTTTTATTTTCAGCTAACATAGGTTGTGATGTCCTTTGGACCTTGTGAGGAACCATGAAATTTTCGGAAAAAACATGAACTGAAATGAAAGAATTTTTCCCACTTCATTTGTGAAATAGGTCGTGTTTTGTTTAGTTTTTTGCAAGGCTCATTTTTCTGTTTATTTGTTTAACCAGCATTCTGTGGTGATGGCAAAATAAACTAGGCCAATGAAAACCATGGCCTCTTTCACAATAACTGTACATTTAGGGGACAATGTTGTTTCATCACTTTGCATAACCTAAGTTCACAAAACATTGTTAGTTTTTGTAATAAATTTATATATTTTGGTTGTACAGCATGTGAAAATAAAATGACACAAAAACAGAAGTCATCTCAGCAGCTGTCCTACTTTGTTTTGTTTTGATAAGGCTCTATGTGTTTGTGTTTTAAAAGAACTGGTGTGAGATGCTCAAGCTTACTGAATCATAATTAGATATTTGTTTTGAACACAAGAAGAGAATAATCAGATGCTCTCTAAGGATCAAATTAATGTCCTTATTAGAGCAGGGTCAAAATGACTTTCCCTGTATCAAAATGATGCTTTGGGGATTGATGAGGAAAGTATATCTTCCACTGTCCAGGGGTCACACATGCAGCCGTTTGGCTGCTGCATTTAGATGCAGAATCAATGAGAGCTGCTGGTAAGAAATCCTGAAGAGAACATCATGTAAGCAATGCTCACTAACTTATATTTTCTATGTTGGAACTTACTGAGAATATGTTTTATATACAATGAAATAAGCTCATCCAACTGGCATGAAAATTATGATTGTCTCTGTTGAGGTCTAATGTTCAATATGATATGATTTCCCCTGTTCTTTAGACTGGAGAGCTTTTAGGCAGAAGCTGTCCTCCAACACACAGCTTGTGGAGTTCAACTATGTCATTTCTCAGGACTGTTTTTAATGACTCTGTTATCATTCATCCTCCAGGCTTCTATATTACTGGATTACAGACATTTCCCTACATCTTTCTAGCATTTGTTTACGTGGTCACACTGCTGTTTAACTGTTTGGTGATCTATGTAATTATCTTAAATTATTGTTTACACACTCCAAAGTTTTTGGCTGTGGGCAACCTCGCAGTAATTGATGTAATTCTAAGCACAAGTATTATTCCCAGCATGATAAAGGTTTTTCTCATTAAGGATAACTTTGTTCCATTTAACATGTGTTTAGTACAAATATATGTTTACTATAGCTTTGTGAGTTTGGAGTCATATGCTCTTGCTATACTTGCCTATGACAGGTTGATCGCAATATGTTTCCCTCTGCATCAGAACTCAATCAACATACTGCGAAGCATGTCTTATATTATTGGTTTGACTTGGTGTTTTAGTCTGGGAATCAATGGATTTGGAACAGGTATGATGACTCGACTGTCTTTTTGCAATTCCCTTAAAGTGTTCAGTTATTTCTGTGATTATATACCTGTGTATACACTCGCCTGTAATGATTACACAATGCAGATAACTGTAGGCACTTCACTTACTTTCTTGATTCTTATTGTACCCTTTACTTTAATTTGTCTGTCTTATATCAGCATCCTGGTGACAGTGTATAGGATGAAATCTTTAGACAGTCGAGTTAAAGCTTTGGGTACTTGTATTGAACATATCATCCTTGTTGCTGTATTTTACATTCCTCTCATTACCATTTTTATTTTTGCCCTTTATCTGCATTTCATTAATGCGGACCTGCCATTGCTAAGCATGTCCCTGGCCTCTTGTACCCCACCCTGCATCAATCCTATTGTGTACTCTTTGAAAACCAAAGAGATCAGAAACAGAGCCCTGGCACTGGTAAGAAAAACTAAAATTGGTACAGATCAACTTAAGAAAAGACACTGGAGAGTTGTAACAAGAAAAATGTAGGCAACATATGTTTTAGTCATTTTCAATATTTCTACATGAAACTACAGGTGTAAGATTTCATGCATTAAATTACTGCACTTTTAAGGCTTTAATGATGTTTTTAGATACTAAATTCCTGCCTCATCATACTTAAATTTTAAGTTTTGGTTCTACTGTTTCAAAAACTAATAAAGCAAAGAAGAAAAGTATTCATCCACAAAGAGGGGCATAGACAAAAGAATGGAATTGTGATGAGTGCTCAACATGGTCTGCTACTATATTTAACAAATTAGAAATCCAGTGAATTACCACTGAATAAGGTTTAATTGACTCAATTCTGTATCCGTAGACATTTTCTAATTGTTAGTGAATAGAAGGGACAGTAAGTCAATCTAGTCCTACACTGCAAGGTTACATTCATCCTCTGCCCAAGTGCATCATCACTAAAAAAGATGAGTGATAGTGTTGATATGAAAAGCTCATAATTATGAATGTTATACTGTAGATATTTTGTTTCTGGGTCCTTACTGAACAAAATTCACTGGGCATACATAAAATACAAGGTATGGTCATGAATAAGACGACTACATAACTACATAGTGTATCACATTAGCTATTAATCTTTGGTATTTGTCTTGTTTTCTGCCTAAAGCTTTATTTTAAGCAACGTTTTGCTGCTTTCCTATAATAAATAATGTTGATGTTAATGGTTGACTAGTTCTGTTTTGTCAATCCCTGCTTTGATTGGTTTATGTGTGTTTAGTGGGAGGGCTGTCAAGTGTCAGAAGTCGACCATCAATCCCATCAATCATCATCAGATATCTAAACATCATGAGGGTAGACAACAGGCGTTAGAGCAGCAGCAGAGCACAAAAACAGGAGGAGGAACATAACTGGGAGTACCTGGGAAGGGCGCAAGCACTTACTTTAGGCCAGGGGCCCCTGGCATCCTTAATCCGACCCTGGTGTTTCTAGGACATCTGGCAGGGTAACAAAGAAACCAGTTTGATTGAAACACCACAGAAAGGTGATCCACTCTGACCCACTTTTCTCCTAATCAGCTTCGAAATTATCTTTAGAAATCTATACAGATAACAGTTATTCAACAGCAGCAGTGACATTGCTGAGAGCTCTTGCCATCTTTTGTTGGTTTATTTAGATCTCTATTAGTTTGTCTCAAAGACAGGCTAAAATAATCTATCATCAAAAATACAATATACAATTTTGTGTGAAATAAATTCATTAATGAAATCTCTCACTACCAAATTTAAAGTCTATAATACTTTTATTTAAACCACTGTGTTTGGCTGTTTGAGCTACAAAGCAAGAAATCTAAGCATTACAAAAAACAACATACGGTAAACAAGTTACTGCAAAAAGCAGTATTTTCATTTCAGTACCATGATTTCAACCTCCAACCCTCCGGTTGGGAGGCGACTGCTCTGCCCACTGAATCACAGTTGCCCCCCACAGTGTATAAGGAGGAGCGGGGAAAAAAAACCCATTCATTTTAGGAAAACCAGGACCCTGCCACTGGTCATAATAAATAAAATTAGCACACAAAACTGCTTTTTCAAAATTTTATAATTTATCACCTGCTTTTACATGGTTTTAGTCATTTTAATGTTTTCTGAATATATCTGCATTAAATTCTACTGCTTGAAAAACTACTAAAACAAGGAAGAGCCTCATGAGCGGCCAGAGCCCGTTCAATGCGCTCCTGCCATTCACGGAGCTCGCTACTGGCTGGGTTCATTTTGGCCAGATTGTACAGTCAGGGAGATGAGTGACGCTCCCGTGAAGATAGAGGAGTGAACCCATTTAAAGAGCCAGTCAGCTGAGGCAGTAGAACAGACTTTAATGTCTTTTTGTGATTGCAGCAGAAACACACACAGTCTTGGGAGATCAGGCGGAAGAGTGGTACTTAATACGGTCCAAGGTCCGAGTCTCTGGCAGGGCAGCAGGGAAGGCAAGGCAGAATCACAGGTTGGTTGAACAGGCAGGGTGTTGATCTCAGGTTTGCTGTCAGACGAGGGAGCAGGCTGGATCACAAGCAAGGGTCCGGTACCGGAAAAGCAGTCAGACAAAAAACACTGGATAGTCTAGACAAAGCATAGAACAATCTGACAACTCCTCACAGTGTGAGGAGCTGCTATATGCTGTGGTGAACAGGTGTGGGTGATTAGTGGCAGGTGAAACCAATGTGCATGATGAGCTGAAGTTACCGGGGTTGTGGATGAGCTGGTGACAGGAAGTGGTATCAAAATAAAAGCAGGATCATGACAGGGTTTTCCTCTATGTAAAGTGACTTGAAATGACTTTTGTTGTGAATCAGTGCTGAACAACTAACATTGAACTGAATGATGTCCATCACATCATATTTTATATTATTTGCAAGTATCTTCCATTTTTTGAATCATATTCTCTCAACTCAACTCAACTTTATTTATATAGCGCTTTACCACAGCACAGCTGACCAAAGCACTTAACATATCATACAAATATAAAAAACAACACATAAAAGCTATAAACAATAATATAAACACTAACACTACAGACGGTCTCATTCCTGGTCAAACGCCAATGAATACAAGTAGGTCTTCAAATGGGACTTAAAAGTAGACAGTGTGGGGGCCTGCCTAATATAAAGCGGCAAGGCATTCCACAGGTTTGGACCTACCACAGCAAAGGCTCGATCCCCCCTAGTTTTCTGCCTGGCCCTCTGTGCCTCCAGAAGAAGCTGATCTGCTGATCTGAGGCAGCGCGACGAGTTACACAGACGTAAAAGTTCCACTAGATAAGATGGTGCCAGCCCATTTAAGGATTTATAAACAAATAAAAGAATCTTAAAACGAACCCTAAAATGCACAGGAAGCCAGTGAAGAGATGCCAGTACTGGCGTTATGTGGTCCCTCTTACGCCCCCCAACCAATAACCGTGCGGCAGCATTCTGGACCCTCTGGAGGCGGGCAAGCCCTGATTGACCAACTCCAGCGTACAGTGCATTACAGTAATCCAAGCGTGATGTAACAAACGCATGAATCACTGTCTCCAAATGCTGCCGCGACAAAAAAGGTTTTAATCTCACTAACTGCCTGAAATAGAAAAATCCAGATTTTACAACCGCATTTATCTGGCTCTCCATTCTCAGATCCGAGTCTATTCTAACACCTAAATTAGTGACCACCGATTGCACATACTGCCCCAAAAAGCCTAAGTCTACAGGAAGAGGGTCGCCAGACGTATTCTGGCCAAACACTATAACCTCAGTTTTAGCATCATTTAACTTCAAGCAATTTAACGACATCCAGGCCCTAATATCGGCAAGACATGCTAAAAGCGGTTGGATCGAGTAGGTGTCTTTTTTGGTCAGTGGCATAATAATCTGGACATCATCAGCATAACAGTGAAAAGAGACCCCATGTTTCCTAAAAATAGAGCCAAGGGGAAGTAAATACAAAGAAAAAAGCAAAGGCCCCAAAATGGAGCCCTGTGGAACCCCAGATAACAAAGGGGTTGTCACAGATTCCACATCTGCCAGCCCGACAGACACTGATCTACC